CACACGATGGGTTGGACCGTTTGCGGTCCGCTCTCGGGTCAACGCCTTGGCGTATATTATCGATCTACCCCCCACGTGGAGATGTCACCACACTATTAATGTGGGCTTCTTAAAACAGTTTCGGGAATCTCCGCGGTTTCCTCGCACTCTAGCGAGGAAACGGCAGCAGCGACCTCACGAGCTTCCCCGCCTCGAGGATACAGCGATTCTCGAAATGCGAATTAACTCCCGCCGCGCCCATCGGAAACGCGAATATTACGTCAAATGGCCGTGCACACGCGATCGCGAGTGGGTTTCGGAGGATCGCTTACGGGAGGCGATCCCCCCTAAGCAGCTCAGTGCTCTCCTGGACCTCGCATCGACTACACCTAGTGTGTGCATGCAGGCAGGATGCGGGAGTGGGTGTTAGGTGGCTCATTGTTAGTGGATCCCTAGGCTGATCCCTGCAATTTATTCTATCTTTCTCCCTCGATGCCCCCGGAGGCTATTTACGTTGCCTCTTTATTTGGATCTTCTCCCTTACACACGACGCGCTAGGTGGCGGGAGGGCGCTGCCGACCAGCAGTACCTTGCCCAGTGGGGCTGGGCACCACCTTTGGGGCTTTGCTGGGACTTTCTCGGGCGCCTAGTCGGCGGCGACCCGGCGCAGCGGGACGCGGCGGTCACAACTGCATTGGTGCTGGATGACTTGCAATCCAGCATCCAGACACCTGAAAGCAGCCCTTTTCTCATTTTATTAGCCCAGAGGAGCGGCGTCAGGTGCCACTTCAGCTAGCCACCAGGTGTTGCCCTGGTCGGGCCGGCATCGCAGCAGTTTCGCTGCTTTCGTCCGGCCTTTCCTCTCTTTTCACTTTTCCTCTGCTTCTATTTGCCGTTTCTGTTGCAGGCCAGCTTATTCAGGTGGTGCCGAGGCACCATCGCAGCAGCGAGGCGGCCGCCGCATCATGACTCGCCGTTTGAGTCAGATGCGACGACTGACATGCTGATTCCCCTCACCTTCCTCTCTGCCTTGACATCTTTACATATTCGACCCCTTTTCACCAGTTTTCCCTTGTTTCATCGCAGGAACAGGCACCGGTGTGGAGAACAGCAGCGGCAGCAGCAGCGGCAGCAGCAGTAGCAACAGCAGCAATCCATCACGTCCAGCATGACCATCTGCGGACGAGGACGTGCGCTTTTTGCTGATGGGGGGACAGATGTAACATGTGTTAGCGCAGAGTTAGCTCAGGAGCCTATCGACGGCTTTGGCATGCTGCGCGTAAGCGCCTGCAAACGTTGTACAAGTTCGTTAAGAGGCAAAGCATGCAGCAAAGGAAGCTTCCCTGGAGCTTCCTTTAGTGCACGCGTGGGGCTGGCTTGCTCTGCTAGCCGCAGCGGGGTGCGCTGCAACCCCATTTCGGGCTGCCTCCTCCCCGCGACACCCTGGCCCTGGGCTCAACGCCCAGGATGCCTAGGCACCGCGGAACGAGGTCAGCTGTTTTTGGGAAACTCTTGCTTTAAGTCTTTGCCTTCATTGCGGCTCGCCTCTGGTCAGATAAAGGCCAGAGAACTAGCGTTACACCTTCTGTATACCCAAATTATACAGAGAACAAGACTGTCTCCTTGTATCAGTCTGTCTCAGATAATCATCTGAGTCGCTGCCTAGTTTCTGTCGGGTTTCACCGGGTGGCTTCGAGCTGCCGTTGTCACAGCATTAGTGCCCGTAGTTGCAGCGCGAATTCCCCGCTTTTGTCCTTGTTGTACTCACAAGGCGGGATGTTATCAATCCCTCGCGTGCCCCTGCATTCTTTCCTGTTGCGGCTTTTACGGCCGACCTCAAGGAATCGACAAGGGTGTCGTCCTTTGTGACTACACTGATGCGAACATATCCACGACGAGATAATCAACAGCGGGTTAAGGCTTGGTCTCATTCGCAACTATGCAGTTGACGGCTTGAGAACGTGCAACATGGGGGGAAATAGAAAGAAAATGATCACGTATAAGGGGTTGCATAATCACCAGCTTGCACAGCTTCTACCGTAAGTTTGTATGTTGGAGTGCTCGCCTCTGTTTGAAGCCCGCAGAGTGCGACGAGACAAACGGCTGCAATCGTGTTGTTAAGGAACGCCACCGATTTGGATTTATTTAGCTTGTCTTCCTATTCGAGTCCTCGTGTGCACCGGAGAACCATCAGATTTGTGGCAGGCCCGCCTCTAGGGGGGCTACCGGCTCAGAGATAGGCGACGAGCTCGACAAGCCCAGGCCTCTCCTTGCTTGTCATTAACACTCCATGTTCATTTTGTCTTATTACACTTCTCTTTGTAGCCCGTTTAATTGTTTTGTTAGGTTTCTAGTCTGTTATTTTTGACAATGGGACCCATTTTCAAGGGAGCAGCTGTTGTTTGCCTCGTGGCG